TTTCACCCCAACCAAAAATTTCTGATGGGGCTTTGTTTTTCGGGGGAAAATATTTAGTAAATTAATTGATGTTCTACATCACTTCCGTCACAACTTGAAAACTAAGCATTTGCGAGGGAAGTGAGTAGAACATCAATCAATTGAGATCTGTTATTGAAATGATAAAGACTTAAAGATAGGACAAAGTGCTTTTAAAACCTACAAACGGAAGTCAGTTTGCGTTTTTAGGTTTTTCTTTGTAGTATTTTTACCAAAAATGCGTCTTTACTGGTCCATGCGTCTTTACTGGTCAAGTAACCCTATCAGGTACCTCCCTTAACATTTAGAGGCGAAAACAAACATTTATCCATACACATCAATGTCTATCAACAACACTTCAGTATATTGCACAGTACCAGTCTAGATAACGTGTAATTACTACAGAAAATTGGAGAGGAATCTTCCATACTCACCCATTAGCGGAAACACCAGCTGTTCTGATGTAAACAAAGGCGTGTTGAGTGTTGCCATCTATGGTTAGGTTTATTTTATTTTTATTTATTTTATTTCATTATTTATTTTTGTTTATGATTAATTTTTAAAAATCAATTTTACTCTCCAAACACTTGAACTTTTTAGGTAGGGACCCCTTTGCACTTGCACCATGTGCGCAATCTTGGATGAGCCCCTGAACCCCTTGGACTGCGGGGCCCCCAAATGCGCGGGGCCCTAGGCAAATGCCTAGTTTGTCTATGCGGTAATCCGGCCCTGAATGCACCACTGAGTCCCAGATTTTTTCACAGGGTGCACCCCCACCACTCACACCCATTCTCTCTCATGTAGGCCTACCAGCTTCTCCTGCTTGATTTGAAGCCGCTAGATTTACGCGTATAAATACGTCCGAAACAGTGGCGCGTAAGATGTATAATATACGATCGAAACAGTCAAAGGGTTAAGTGTACCTGTGCCTAAATAAACTTACACAAAGAGAGCTGAGAATCATACGGACACACACATACATATGGACCACCGAGACAGAAGTGGGATGGGAAAAGAAGCTAGGCCTCCCCCACAGGCAGGCTGTCTTCAAGGCCACTAGATGGAGGGTAAAACTCCCATGGTCCTAGCTCATGGTGCTCCAAATTTTTCCTGCAGAAGTAGCACCATCCTAGATGAACATCATAGAGTGCTAATGAAAGTATGCCGCAATTTTGCAATGGTGTAATACTGAAAACGTGTTGGAAGATCGTATCCTAATCAACATTCTACTTTATAATACAGAGGTACAGAGCTCTATGGACAGATCTGTTGTGCAACAGAGGTCCAGTGACTCTCAAGCTGGTCCTAGTGGCATTAAAAGAAGGGAAGTAACCCCGGAAAAGGACTTGCTACCTCAAGTCCTAATGGAAGGGATTCCCCTTTTAAACAATAATTTCCACACTTTCCCCTCCTCCTATCCCATCAATCACCAGATCTTCAATAAAGGAAAGTGTCATGTATTCTATTCTTAGTAGAGCAGTAACTGTGCATGTCTTCTTCAGTTTGTGTGTATTAAAATTAATGTTTCATGTGGTAAAATTTTTTATTTTTCATACTTTGGGGTGTCAGGAACGGATTAATTTGATTTCCATTATTTCTTATGGGAAATTAATTCGGCTAACGATAATTTTTGGCTTACGACGAGCTCTCAGGAACGGATTAATTTCGTAAGGCGGGGTCCACTGTACTTAAAAATTTTGATCAACTGCCCTTAGCAAATATGGACAAATGGAAGAATACACAACAGTGCAAATAATGCCAAGTGCAAAACAAAGAGGAGGCCTGTTATTACATTAGAACAAAAAACTCAAAGAGCAATATACACATGGTGATAGCAAACTCTAAAATACGCCAAGATGTTGAAACACACGAATCTACTGTATCTAATATAAAACATGCAGATAAAAAGAAAAAGGTACAGTTGCATCAGCTCTTTGTGGCCTGCAAACACTACAGTGGAACCTCAAATATCGAACTTTCTTTGGTGCAGAAGGCTGTTGGAGTGCCTTTACCGAATGAATTTATTCCCATGAGGAATAATGTAAATTAGATTAGTCCATTTCAGACCCTCAAAAATGCACTTAAAAAAGCACTTACAAAAATACACTTAC